CCCCAAAACCCCAAAACCCCAAAACCCCAAAACCCCAAAACCCCAAAACCCCAAAACCCCAGCAGTCGCACAATAATAGAATCTTAATATAAAATGGAACCTAGTGCAGTCCTAATAGACGAAGAGAACAAGGTTCTTCATGAAGAAGAGCAGAGGCTAGATTTTATGGAGGAAAATTATGATACTACCAAATACGCATATGAAGCTTTTTATAATGTTGAGTTTATTAAATATGGTAAGTGGGTAGGGATTTGGAGGTAAGAGGTCATATGGATATAGATTCGAGTAGGATATACTCTAAATACAATCAAATTAGGAAACCGAAGGATGAAGAGTATTCTTTGAATGTTTTTATCGAAAAAAATAATTCAAGGAATTTTAAACAATTAGCCGCAACGATGATTAGTTATCCTTTCTTTGATTTTTTTGTTTCTGGAGATGAGCAACTAGAGAAACCAAAGATATCAAGATTCCTTCCTTGCATGATAAAAGTGTTCCCTAACATACTTAGCGAGTGCAAGTTCAGACATGTATCTCTCACAAGTTCTGACCTCCTCCGTATATTCTACAGTCTAATCTCAAAATGTGAATTAAGGTTTATTTCATGCTGATTGGCTAATTTGACTCACCCAAATTTCACCAGACCAATCTCTATCACCCAGCTTACCCTAATCAACTGTGTATCCCCCAACAGCACTTTTTTCAACACTCAAAATCCCTCCTTCCTCAACCTACGCAGACTACTAAAAGAATCCTGCTCCAACCCCTGTACCATAAGACTCACTCCAAATATCCACTTCAGCACTGAAGATCCAACTATAACCTACATCACTACTCTACAGCCAGAATATCCCGCAGAGCCTCTAGACTAAGAGCTGGCTTAAACTGTACTTTCTCTGTGTGAACTTTGAGAACAAATTTGTACGAGGAAGGGCAGATTTTAGGTGTGCAATTAGGTAGTTAGGCCATGGGGTTTTGGGGTTTTGGGGTTTTGGGGTTTTGGGGTTTTGGGGTTTTGGGG